GCCTCATTTCAAGGCAGGCGGATCGAGGCGCGTTTGTGCATTCTCTGTTTTTCCATGGTTAATTTCATAGATCCATAATCTTGGTGGTGGATTTTTCCGTTTTTTGAAATGCCTTCATGATTTTCATTCTCTTACTATTTTAAGCAAAACAGTTCTTTTTCAGCATAAATCGATGTACCGGCTTTCTATTGTTGCGGTTACCTGATTTTTGTGAAAATATGTCGCTTATGCCCAGTTATCCAAGTGGTTCCTTGATGTAAAACGAATTTATAGTTTTTGTTCTAATTCGCGAAATTTGAGATTAAGCTTAATCACATGGCTTCAATAATCGTAATTTTGCTATTTTATTTATTTGGTATCAGGTTCGCTGCAAATCTGATGGAGAAAGAAGAGGCTCGCGACCTGGCGGTTGCTCAGCTTGTTTCGTTAGGCTATCCTGCTAACCTCGCCTCCGCTAGTCTAAAGATCACCAAAGGTGACATGCGGGCAGCTCTTGATCGCCTCGTCAGTAGACAAGCCAACCAAGCTATACAGATAAAAGAGGAGTCTTGCTATTCTTCCTCCCCATCAAATTCTTCCTCAATGATGGATAGAAGAGGCAGACGAGAGCGAGGCAGAGGTGGGCTGACCCGCAGAAGGAACTATGATCCAGATTTGGAAGACGATCCCAGATTTGATCCTGTATGTACAGTACAGAGAAACATGCCTGAAGTTTAATTATTTCTGCACCCTAGTAATGAATACAGAAGAAATGGAAGTTACACTAATATTTAAGTGGCTTGTTTAAGGGAAAAATTGATAACAGATCAAATGACCAAATAAGAAGGCAACACATGCACTTTTATAAATAATTCAGGCAGGAAAATTTGCATTACCTGCATTTGTTGCCTGCATGGACTAGTCAACTGCATAGCACTCGATTAAGCATTATCCTAATCTTGGATGCAAGGTCTATTTACGTTATTGCGTTTAATTTGTATTAACCCTTAGAAAAATAGCTGAAAATGCATTAATTGCGCAAAAAGTATATTCTTGACCATATCTTGACCAATCATTCCTTTGAATTTAATCCTCGAAGATAGTGTGATATTCGCAAGGATATTTAGAGTAGAACCCGCTGTTTCGCATCTTTCTTATCTTAATTTGCTTATCCGTAGTCATGACCTCTTTTTGATACTTATTTACATTTTTTGATTTTCGAATTCTCTCTTCATTCTACTTATTAATCCTTTTCGTGTTTTCTATTTTAATGCAAACTTATCACATTCAATCATCTCCTCAATAGGTTGCCGCTTCTCGTGCAGCTGGTATTGTTCGTTCTAATAGCGCCGAAAGAATAAACTTGGCAGAAGCTTTCCAGGCTGCCAAAGCTCATGCAAATATTGGCCAGCAATGTGACACAAACGCCACCACTCACTCTAGCTCCTCTGTCACCTATAGACAATCAGCTAGAATTCGCCTTCCGCTTGGTTGTCCGATCATGGCTCCTGACATTGGTGGTGTTTATCGAGAGGCCAAATTTGGTGGACTTTTACCCTTTTCTGTAGATGGAGAGAGAGCTGTCGTGCTAACTTACGTTGCTGATTCTCATTCCATGAGCCAGACGAATGACTTAGCTGTTTCTGATCTCGAAGAAGTGATTGCTGTTGACCTGCTTCGAGGACTGAATATGGAGAAGGTAGAATTAGGCTTGCGAATATACGTGCTATTGCTTTCATTAGTCTTATAAGTAAGTTCTTGAGACTACCCGTATATCTGACATATGGCTGTATTCAATCTATTTTGTTTAAAGTGATAAAGGACTTGTACTTAAATTTTCTCGCAATGATATGAGTTAGCCTCATGTTCTATTAAATTTCACATAGCCTTGCTTACCAAAAAGCTTTCTCGTCCAGTCTGGAGAGTACTGCAATTTCGACCTCGCCTAGTCTCACCAGCACCCCTAGCGGCATTCGAACCTTGTTAGTGCAGCGTAAAATCTCTACACTTCGAGGTCAAAATTACACTGGATAAGAATATCGTTTGAGATGTAAGGATGTGCAAATTTAACGTAAACATGAGGCCTACTCATATCGTTAGGAAAAAATTCAAGAACAAGTCTTATCATCTTGAATAAAATAGTATTAATGCGGGTTTTATATAGGATCTAATAGGTATTTTTGAAAAATTGTTCATGAAATAACAAAATAATCAAATGTGAAGACCAAAATGGTGCGGCCTTTTGTTTGATTACAGCCTCCTTTAGATGTATAAGATGGGTCTGACCTCGTTTTCGTAACTTGGTCGGAGCAACAGGGAGACCTAGTGGAAGGTACTTAGTCCTTCGTCCTTTGTCATATTATTCATAATTCCTAGCATCATATCGTTAACACGATACATTCCCAGATATTTCGCCGGCATCGTAGTTGGCATTGTCAGTGTGAGGTGCCATCGTCAGGCTTGATTGGAAACAGCTGCTGTAAAGATGGGCAGCTTCCCTTCTCTACTCCTGAATCGCGTAAAGCACACTTGTCTGTTCAGCCTACAATTCCACTTAACTCTTATGTTCTGGCTAATTGTATATATGTACATGCTGGAGTATCTTTCATTTTGTTTGAAGAGGCGAGTGAAAGGGATTCGTACGTTGGTCTCACCTGAAGCTGTAAGGCAATTGCCTTAGGCTGAGATTATAGATTGGTGCGAATGGTTGTCCCTACGATCCCGATGAATCGATGAACTTTTATCTGTCATGTGACTCATCATCAGAGCAGGACACCATGCTTAACGATAATTCACTAAAACATTAAAGCAAGAAAGGTAGCCTGCTTGAAGCCTAACTACCTTTTATAGTCAAATTTAGTCCACTTAATTAAGCATTTCATATTTTAATTGGATATCTTATGCTTTGCCTAAATGTTTGCTGAAAATTTAAGTTGAGAAGCTGCGGATGCATTTGTGATTCATTAGCTGCATTCTTCTCTAAAACACTTAAAACTTCGATAATGCACTGTCACTATATGCGATTGCATTCCATTGCATGCGTGCTGTGTGAACACAAAATCTTGTAACTGCCCGGTTTGGAGAAAGGATAATAATAATATTCTCGAAAAGAAGGGATTATCAAGTAAATTATTATTTTCTCTTTAATATTCCGAATTTGCCGAGCACATGGCTCGCTCAGGGCACTGGATAGACTGTTATAATGCCAAACTTTTAGCTGAATATGGGGACTATATCATTAAAATAAATATTAGGGAAGCGATAAAAATCAACAAAACAGTCAGAGACCTGAATACAATAAATGAGTGTAGGAAGTTAAGTGTAAACCACTTGTGACTGATTGATAGGATTAGATGGACTTATTAATTCGTGGGGCTATGAGATTTACCACTCATTCTCACCATAATATATGGATTCTCTTTCAATCTACTGTAGCCTAATTTTACAGAGAGAGATTCGTATATTACACATAAAGACTAATGCATTCACCAATCGAGGAGTACTTAAGTTCGTTGAAGGGAATTTATATAGAAGCTACTTCGGATTAACATGTCATTTTCTTTTGATAGAGTCAATCTCTAAATCTCTTCGTTACACAATTATATAGATACGAAGAGAAACTGAGTTTATATGAATCTCCTGAGATTGCATTGCTGGGGGGACTTTCATTACGAATGAAAGTGCATGAAGAAGATATTCGTTGGTCGATCTCATCAGGTGAGGACGGATGAAACTCGTACTGCAGCCGTTTGGCCTTTATACGATATTCATCTTGACGCAGTCCACGAGACTTCCTCTCTCGTTTCGGGTGAAAATGGGCTGAGCTTTCGTCCATCATATGATGGACATCTTTAGAGCTGGGTGTCATTCCTATAAAATTCTGACGTTAATACTAGGGCAAGTTGACTATCCGGCTCTATCTTATTTCTTATATAGACTTAATTAAACCAAATTAACTTAAAAATCTAGATAGATAGAGTGGCTTGGCTAATTATCTTTCATACTGGTAAGTCGTACTAACCATGGCTGCAGCAAAGTGGAGAAGGATAAGGTAATCAATTTATCTAGTAAAACTTTGGATGATAGTGTAGTACTTTGATTGGAAAGAGGTTTGCATTTTGCTCTTTCAAATAAGGTAAACCATTCTATGGAACTACTTGTTGAATTAATTAGCTTATCTGATAGATTGTCTGAAGAGGTAAGAAATAGTATTGAAATGGAAGTGAACCCTCATTTTGACCATACAATACCGCGAACGAAAGCCTTTCCTCTTAATAGAGTTTCTGTATATCTTTGTGGTAGTAATATAATAGTGATGAAAGCTGACAAAGGTGGCGCAGTGGTAGCCATGGCTAAGTCTAGTTATGTAGAAAAAATGCTAGCTCATTTATATGACAATGACACGTATAGGCCTGTGTTGAGAGATCCAACCGAAAGACTTAAGATTAGGCTAAAGGATCCCCTTAAAGGATGCGTAAGTAATGGTGAAATGGAAAAGTGGACAATGAATTCACTACTCCAGAAAGATGCAAGGGCCACCACGGCTTACAGTCTCCCTAAGGTTCACTAGGATAGTGTCTCTAAGATTAATTGTAAATAATAAAGGAAGCATGATGCATAAAATCTCACGGTTTTTGCGCATAAAACTAAAGAACTCTACTAATTATTAACTATAGTTAGTTAAAAATTCGTATGATTTTGTGAACTTGCTAGATCAATAGACAATATCAGAATAGGATAGGCTAGTAAGTTTTGATGTTTTTTTATGTACCCAAACATTTCTGTTCAAGGAGCCATTCAAGTTCTGGTACAAAGTGCAGAGGAGCATCTAGAGATAACACAAGAAATAAGGTTGAGTGGAGCTTCTATAATTAGAGTTATTAACATATTCACGAATACTACATATTTTACCTTCGATGGTAAGTTATACGAAAAAGACACAAGGATTATCGATGGGATCTTGCCTGGCTCCCATCCTAGCGAACAATCATATGGCAAGATTGGAGGAACACTTCCCCCACGAGGCAATACCAACCTATCAAATTGTTGCTCAGGCAGATGGATGATTTTTTTGTCATCTGGCATCATGGTAAAGAAAGTTCAGATAGTTTCCTACTTTCACTTAATTAGAGTGAAAGAAATATTAGGTTCACAATGGAAATACAAGAGAATAGGTCCTTGCCCTTTATCAGTGTTCTCATTATTAGAGAAGAGGGCGAGTTAGAAAGATATGTTTATAGTAAGTCAACATATGTTGGTTCTGCTTAATTTTATTTCCAACCATAGTTACAAGACTAAGGTTGGAATTTTAAAGTCAATGATTATTGGAAGTATGAGGCTAGCGGATAGCAAAGATTTGACTAGAGTTGGGACGGGTGGCAAATTTATTCTTGGAAAATAATTATCCTTTGGGCTTTTGATAATAATATCTATACTGAGATATACATTTTCAGACGGAGACCATTTAGTCAAAGATAGACAGACTGAGACCTTTTCCCATGTCATAATTTTGCCGTCATGCCTTCCCTTAAAAAAGATAGCCGAATTAGTAAGAAAGGGGGGGATAAAAACAGTGTTCAACGAAACCCCCACACTGCTATGCCATCGTCCAATGGTCAGAAATGTCCGAACATATTGTAGAAACTGGGCTAGTAGGTTTGCTGAGTATGGTACGTCTTTGGTTAAAAGAAAGATAAAAGAGCCTATTGAGATTAATAGCTTAGGAAATACTTTGAATGTGAGGAACGGTGGTATAAAGTTGAGTTGGAACTACTTATGTCTGATTAATAGATTGAAGGAGAGAGAGGGTGCTGTGCCTCCGTCAAAAAGAAGGCGATTGCCTGGTGATGGTTCTAATTCCACTTACATTCGTACAAAATGTTAGATTAATCTCATCAACCAGACCAGACATGCCCGATTACGCAGTCCCTATCATTCCTTTCCTTAGGCGGTTAAGCGTTAATGACCCTATACTGAGTGGTTTGGACAAGTGGTTTCGTAACTTGACTTACATGCTTACAAGTTCATTGTCTCAGGCATACTTGTTTACAGACTTACGCAATCTCGGTCAGGGCTTGGGCCATTAGGCCTTGATGATCAGAGCCTGGTATTAACTGATCCAGAACCGGTATTGCGTATAGACAGTAACAAATACATACACACACGCGCAAAAGTAGCAGGACTAGTATGAAAGATAATTAGCCAAATCACTATAACTATCTATTTAAGTTTTTAATTTTCTTTTAGCTTAATTGAGTCCATATAAGAGGTAAGACATAGCCGTATAGTCTTCTTGCCCAAATGTTAACCTTAGATTCTTACAGGAATGAGATCCAGCTCTGATGACGTCCATCATATGATGGACGACAGCTCAGCCGTTTTTCACTCGAAACAAAGGGAGGAAGTTTCGTGGACTGCGTCAACCTGAACATCGTTTAAAAGCCAAACAGCTGCAATAAAACGGGATCCATCCGTCC